ACTGTTAATGTAGAAACAATCTAAATGGACAAACTAGCCGTGTGTACGTTCCAGATCCATACCGTCATGTGCCTTTTTCTGGCAAGGTCTCTCAAAAACCCAGACAACAGGGAAGTATACAATGGTGTATACACATTAAGCTGTAAGCATGCGAGGCACTGCAGAGATTCTTGTGGCGCATACAGAGCCATTTGCATAAAGCTAAAATGCGAGCGTGTATGCAGATAACTTCTTGGCTATGCTGCTTTGCGTTGTGGGATGATTAGGATGAACCAATGAACACACTTCATATGGATTAAAGTCCCCTCACAGGTCTACACAGTAAATCAGAATGCATTATATAACCAGACTAATATTTCCATAGCAGTGGTTATATCTGAAACGTAATAGGTTTTTAAATTGGAAAGCAGATTTACATTTTTAAAAAGTGATATGTTACTTGCCTGCCTGAAGAGAGTGACAATCTGACTATAAAAGATAAAAATGGTATTTCCAAATGTCCATACTTTTATTTTATGCTTATCAGAAAATGTATTTTTTTTGTCTTGATTTTTTTTTATTACAGCCCACCAACCGATTTTAGCACAGCTTATGATGGAAAGACACTTCACATTTCCTAGATTAAAAAGAACTTACCACTTTGCCTGGCCTCGCCCATGTGCAAATAAATCCTTCCTGACAAGCAGTCACTAAACAGTCCTCTAAAAATATGAGTACAGTCAGTCTCTCGTGTGCTATCTTTTTACAGATGAGGGGCTCGAGGAGGGGCACATCCTCCATGCGCGGGCACAGCAGAGTGCCCAGAGTCTTAGCAGGGTCTGTTTTGGTTTTTGTGAGCAGGTTGAGCTTGTCACTGCTCTTGCTGCTGATGTGGCCCATGCTGTGGTTGCGTTTGTGGTCCTTCTCGTGGTGGCGTTCCTTCCGATCATGGAGTGACAGCGTGGCAAATTTACTCACACCTGTAGCAATGGCACTGTCCATTATACCACTCCCGATGCCGCCACCACTGCTGGCTTTGTTGGTGTTGTTTGTCGTTGTTGTCGTTGTTGTTGTTGTTGTTGTGGTGGTGCCGGCTGAATGGGGTAGGCTGTTGGAGCGTGGTAATGTAGTGGAGAGGGAGTTAATGCCAGGAGTATTGGCACCACTGTTGTTTCCATTAGTAGTGTTACTAGAGGCGTTAGCGATTATTGTAGCACCCGCAGGGGGGCTGGTAGCATTCATCACGTTAGTGTGTGTCCGTGTCCGTGAGAGTGGAAGATGGGGGAAAAGGATGTCCTCAGTGAGGTCCCATAGGCACAGCTGAGTGTCCTGGCCCACTGAGCCAAACCGGTACGTGACGCTAACAGGCCGGCTGTCCGTCGAGTTGCGCTTGGAGAGTCGAGACTGCGTACTGTTGGCCCGGTCTCGTCCGAAGTGGATCATCTGATCCTGGAAGTCCTCATCGCTGCCACTGAACTCCATCGGGTCACTCTCTTCCACGCTGGTGGTGTAATGGTCAAACGCCACCACACTGACCCACGACTTGTGCCCATGACCTCGGGCGATGACTCTGCAGTCCAAAAACGACCACACAGTCACTAAATCGTCCTCTCCGCCTGCAACTATGTACTTTCCATCAGGGCTCCAGCACACACACAACAAGCCACCAAAGTAGCTCTTCATGGTGCCATGAAGCTCCACCGCATCAAAGTTGAAGACTCGTAGGAAGCCGTCTTGGCTAACACAGCCTAGGAACTTCCCATCCGGAGAGAAGGCAAACTCATTTAGAGCCCCCTCCCCCACTGCCCATTTAAGGAGAGGGTTCCGCGTGGATTTACTCTTACATGTGTGTACAGAGTAGTTCTCTCCCTGTTTAAGCACCTGATAGTGTGGTGCCGTGGTGCCACAAGTATGCTCCACATTGTATAGATACATATTCCCACTGGAATGGGAGACCAGAAACAGGCTCTCAGAGCCTGGCACCCACTTCACGCATGTTACTCTGGTCTTGTCTATTAGTCTCTGACAGGAGGGAGCGATGGTTGAGTTTGAGAGGCAGATGGGGGAAAAAAGAGAAGGGGAGAGGAAAGCAAATAATGTCAGCACAGTATCAGCAATCAATCAAACATGTTGAAAGTGTGACAATTTTGGGGAACAGAAAATACAAAAAGTAATAAAAAGTACATAAAATCTTTGGGAAATATTTGAACACATTACACTTTTTGTCATTCACAACAATAAATTGTCATAGGAAGACTGAAGAGTGTACTTCAAGGATACTTTTTGTTCATCTATTTAGGGAAACATTTTCCACACAACTCAAATAACTAAACTAACTAAATAATGTAACCTCTGTCCATCAGATGCTTACCTCTTCATTGAAGAGCTTGCTTGTCTCCTTCTTGATGGGGTCAATAAGCTGTACCTGTCCTGCTGAGAAACCCACCAGCAAGGACACACTCTCTGCTGTGGCTGTGAGGTGGTTGAAGTCATGACAGGTGGGCTGCGTTCCCTTGTAGATGCGCTTGTCTATGGGCTTGCTCAGGTCAGCAGCCTGAAGAAAGAAAGTGTGCATGACATGAAGTTAGAGCAGTAACTTTGAAAACCATCTAAAATTAGTCTATGGGCTTTGTTGTATGACAAAGGCTATTGTTGTCAAACTGTCAGAAAACATACCAGTGGAGAAAAGTTTGGATTTATACTTTTTCTACCTGTGCTTCATCTCAAAACACAGAAAATAGAATTTAAAAAAGGAACTGAAGGGACAAAGTTAATTATTTTAACCCGGTACATCTGATTACACTCTTGTTAGATAAAAGGTTCCTGCAACGAAGTTTAAGATGAATGACATCTGAACTCATCCATTTTTAAAAAGGTCAAACCGAACCTTTTTTGGTCACTGATTAACTGTTCTCTGTATTTGGATAGATGTTAGCAATCACACTGTATGATGTACACTTTGTTATGAATATCAGGAAACATTATTCTACTGCAATGAACAAAACACCTTGGGCATATACTGCACACAACCAGTTTTATTTATTAATGATTTACATTGCACACTAGGTGGAAGAGTGGAACATTCGAAAACCACCGAGTCATTATATTCCATTACTGGTGGATGTGACATTGAGTGTTTCTCTCTCACCTAAAAAAAATGCCAATGCTTTTAGAAAGTGCTTTGATTATTCACATTATCAGCAAAAAGGGTACATAAACATGCCATGTCAACAGTGCTAAGGAATACTTTGAAGGTCATGGATATACATTACAGGAAGAAAAAAAAAGCTGCTTATTTATACATTGTTTATACATCTTACTATTTGTTGCCTAAATGTATCTGCTGCAGCTGTACAATAATGTGTGATTGTTCCAACTTCTGGTAGTTTAGCCTTCAGCTAAATGCTGATTTACAGTGAAATAATGGCACACATGACAAGCGCATGTCGCTGTGAATAATTAAAAAAAGGCCATGACACATTCCTTTTCGACACAAGTTAGAAATCAGCTGATTCCTGTCAATCTGTGATGTCAAGTCAGCTGTTAGCTAAACCACTTGATCTAAGGTTATTGGCAAAATACAGGAGTGCTTTGAGATTGTTAGTATTGTAATATACTAATAATAATAAACTTATGTTAAAATACTGAAAGTGAACAATTATGTGATTTCCACTAGTCCTCCACCTTCTGTTTAACAACTAGCAGTATTTGTCAGGGGAAACCATCACCATACAGAGCTTCGAGAGATGTTTAAACCTAACAAATACAGATTACTACCACACTGTACACTCAACAATAACAGTCACAACTACATTAACTAGCTAACGTTAGCATTCCCCTACAAGCAGAGAAAGTCAGCCTAGTTTCATGACACATCCCCGAGCTAAAAGCTGAGTCAGTGCCATTAGTCAGAGGCTGACTGCAACGCTTAGCCTGCTAGCTGAATGAATGTCCTAAAACTGAATCGACATTATTTTTGATTTGTCGACACATGACAAAAGTCGTCGACAGGTGTTATGGGTGTCAACGCAATAACTGTCACCACAAACTATACCAGAGATGCTAACCCTGATAACTTAAATCAAAAGCTCCACTTTAACCGACTGATCGTTATCAAATCCCACTTATAATACCATCCAACTAAAACCAAAACAGATTCCCGGACTGTTCACGGAATTTAGCCCCTGGCCTCGGGAGTAGCTGCTGCTAACGTTAGCTAAATTACGTTGGCTAGCTTCAGATTAGCTTCAAGCTAACAAGCTGCATGCTAATTTGAAAGTCAAGCACCTGTCAGAGTTATTTAATAAAGCCCACAAAAGTCCATATTTCAGCAACAGCTAGGCCAGAAATGAAGCTTTTCAACATGCAGTATCCCGGGTTGACGCGCTACCTTTCTTACGCCTTTGTAGATGTAGAAGTAGAGCTCACGGCCCACATTGAAACAGATCCTGTCGCCGTTTCCCGACTGATCGTTGACGTTAACGAAAGAGACCTTGACTGGGTTGGAGCCCTGTGAGTTGAAAGGCACCCTGTTGGGACGGCTGTATTCGGAGTGAGTGAGGAGCTTGTAGACACCTTCCCGAGTTGTGAACTGAGTTTTAATTTCGTTCATCTCCTTCCCTCCTCCCTCCGCCGCCATCTTTGAATTTAACATTCATCTCTTTCCCCTAGGCCGGATCTTACGCACAGGGAGCGGGCATTCCGACTCACCCGTTCCCCCAACGGTTCAGCGGGGAACTGGTGGAGGACTGTAGACTGAAGATATTTAATAACCAAGTTGCCACAGCTTTATAATTAATCAGAATTAAATTGTTCTGCAACAGTACACTAACTTTACATTTGATATTTTATTTTTAAATAAAAAATGTGTTGTTCAACTAAACCAACGTGGAGTAACTTTCTTGCACACGTTTTTGGGTCGGGAACTCTTTAGATCTATATATTTGGTGAAAAAAATATAAAAACAGACTGAAGGGTGGTTTACTCTTAACAGGGACCCATTTAAAGTTAATATATCGGCATTTTTGGTCTGTTATACAGCAGAAAGATAGCTGACTTAATTTGGAGAGCGATAAATCACCGGAAATATTATTTTGTTAGAATCTTGTAATGACCTGAATTTGGGAGCACATTGCTGCATGCGCCATATCAAAGACACCTGCTACTCTGCTGGTCAATTAATCAGCCATCTTCTCGTTACAAACAACAAAGACATATTTTACGTGTTTTAATCTATCATGGTAGAAGAACTACAAGTGCCAAAAAAGAAGACGTCAACTGTCATTTTCAGGTATAAATATTTTGTTTATTCTTTTGCAGAATTAAAACTCATCATACTTAAGTTGTATTTTGTAATACGAAGTGCATGCTAACGTTATTCATTCCATATTGTTTTTACTTTCTTCTTGTACATGATTTGGCACTGCATGCTGGGATTCTTTTATTTCTAAAACAATGAAATAAGAGTAGGCTACCGGTATTAACTTTTGTGGACCTTTGAATGTGGTTAAATGCAATATTGCTCTTACAAATTCACATTTGTCTCCCCAATTAGATCAAATGGAGAGACATGTGCCCAACAACATGGACCAGCTTGCCTACAAATACATGGTACAACTTAGCCATCACCATTTTGAGAGTGCTCTGGCCTATTTTTCAGTAGTTAAATCAAAAATCATTATAGCTACTGCTGTCTTACATTGACATAAATGTAGACTTGAGTGACCTCTGTTTTTTGTCAGGAGATGTGTAAAGTGTCCAGCTCTGATTCTGACTCCGAGATCAGTCCAAGGTTGTCGGACACCAGCACTATGGTAATACTTTACTTCACAATATTCACAATAACCACTTGGATAAGCTTTAGAATATATTAGGCCAAGTTACCAAATTTTCGGATATTTTCCGCAATGAATTTTATTTTAAAATGGAGTCTAATTTAGTTTATTGTACAGAAATGGAATGTTCTCCAAAAAGCATCGAGTTTTCTTGATTTTAAAAATAAAAACATGTTTTGTTAGGGCAAAAAACAATGACTTTCTTGTTGAGCAGGGTTGTGTGAGCATCACACCAGAGAGTTTGACTTTTCGGCGGACATTGCCATTAACTCAAAAGCCTGCAGGAAGGTATGGCTGTTGCTCTTTGGTAAGCATTCCCCCTTGATTCAATTAAAGTATAGCTGCTACTACAAGGCCATGCTGCTGTCCTATTTGTTTATGAATAAATGCATGTTTGATTGCAGTTTTTGGACCCATATGATGGGAGCTCTGAGGATTCTGATGAGCCAAACATCAATGGGGGTGTCTCCTGCAGGCGATTCAAGCAGCAGGGAAAAGGTGGAGGAGGAGGCAGTCGGTTCTCGGGCAGGAGCAGAAGGTTTATCCTCAATCATCCTGCTTCTGTTTCCCTAAGGGATGTGGAGAAACATGGCATGAGATATGCTGTATCAGACAACAATGTCCAGATGAAATGTGGGAGTGACTCTGAGATGTGTGATGATTACATTTTGACCTCACACAGAGACGGGGATGGTGGTAGAGCTCTTTCAGAGCAAATGGCCGAAGATTCAACAATGCAATCCCAAACCATGGATGTAGCTTTGCACTGTCAACTAGATGATTCCGGCTTTCATGCTACTAGATATTCCACGCCTCACATACCTGCACCTGTAACCCCAGCAGAAGTGAGTTTGTCCCAGGCGACAGATCTCTCCTCTGAGAGCTCCCCCTGCCCCTGTAACCTCAGGTCGCTTTACAAGAGAAAGCTGGGTTTCCCTGGAGCAGAAGTGGTTGAGCTGGGGCAAAGAAAGAAGCAGTGTGTTGTCAACATGGAGGACCAACAGGAAGAAAGGGAATCTGCATCTGAAACATGTTCGAGCCATCTTACCATGGACTGACACACTGAAGTACTGCAGTCATATCAGTGCCTTAAACAAGTTAAGGTAGAATGAAAGACTATAAATAGTTACTTGGCAATGCACTTTGTTTACTCATGTAAAAAGATCAGAGGATTTATATTTCTATCTCCAGTTATTTTGAGTGTGTGAAATCTGTCACATAATGTGTTGATTGTTCTTAGGCGGTCATTCTTTTTGTTGGGAGAATTACCATTGTAACGTCAGTCTCCATTATGGACTGAAGAATAACCTATGCACTGGCAATACATGTACTGTATTTCTTCCATAGACCAATTAAAGAAAAAATAAGTTCTGTGAAAAAGACCTAAAATGTATTTGTTGTTTTCCCGCACAAAAGCTTAAAAAATATTTACTGCTAAAAAGTGGCATTCAGCAACCAAAGCTCCACTGAACTTTAACTAGTGGTGCCCTAATTAAAATTAAGTGTGAAATGACAAGCTGAAGTTTGATTTTCTAAAAATGTATCTCAATGATATCAAATATTTCACAAGTATTCACTAGTTTCAATCATTGCTTTGAAGCCATTTCTGTTTAGTTTTTAGATAGGCACAAATGAAAAACTGAATATAGTTTAGTCTTGATAGTGTGATTTGTTTTGCCGCATGTTAGATCCTAAATCTCATAACTTAAGGTTTGTTTCAGTCTTCTTTGTATTTTCCAATGGTAAAGTTTTCTCTCCTTTTATCTACCTTTTCTTGAGCAAAGACAAGTTCATCCATTACATTACATTACATTGCATTTAGCTGACGCTTTTATCCAAAGCAACTTACAATAAGTGCGTTCGACCAACAAAATACAATTTTGAAGAAAACAGAATCATATAAGTACATCAGGTTTCATAGAGCTAAAACATTTCAAGTGCTACTCAACTGGCTTTAGATAAGCCAGTCCTTTATTAGTATATAAGTGCTTTGTTAATAATTCTATTGCTCGAAGTGGAGTCGAAAGAGATGAGTTTTCAGTCTCCCCCGGAAGATGTGCAAGCTATCTGCTGTCCTGATTTCAATGGGGAGCTCATTCCACCATTTTGGAGCCAGGATAGCAAACCCACGTGTTTTTGCTGATGGGAACTTATGTCCCCCTCGCAGTACGGGTGCAGCGAGCTGTTTGGCCGATGCAGAGCGAAGTGCACGTGCTGGGGTGTACGGTTTAAACATGTCCTGGATGTAGGAAGGGCCAGATCCATTCGCAGAATGGTACGCAAGTACCAGTGTCTTGAAGTGGATTCTAGCAGTTACCGGAAGCCAGTGAAGGGAGCGGAGGAGCGGCGTGGTGTGGGAGAATTTAGGAAGGTTGAAGACCAGACGAGCAGCTGCATTCTGGATGAGCTGCAGAGGTCGGATGGCACATGCAGGTAGACCAGCCAGGAGGGAGTTGCAGTAGTCTAGGCGTGAGATGACGAGAGCCTGGACCAGAACCTGCGCTGTTTCTGGGTCAGCTGGGGACGTATCCTCCTGATGTTGTAAAGCGTGTATCTGCAGCAGCGTGTTGTTGCAGCGATGTTTGCAGTGAAGGACAGTTTGTTATCTAGGGTCACACCCAGATTCCTTGCCGTCTGAGTCGGGGAAACAACAGAGGGGCCAATGTTGATTGTTAGGTCAAGAGTGGGACAATCTTTT